TTCCTAATGCAGAAGTCCTGTCCGATCAAAAACAGCCACCAGTTACCATGGATACCACTAAAAGACTTAGTTGGCCACAGTCCGCGGGCATATGTAGCAATATCAAATCGGAACCTCTTTCTTTCGAGGAAGGCTTAAGCAGCAGCTGTGAACTGGGCATGAAGCAAGTTTCCTATGACCAGAATGAAATGAAAGAACAGTTAAAAGCATTTGCGCTGAAAAATGCAGATTTCTCTTCCTATTTGCTTTCTGAGCCGCAAAAGCCTTTTACCCAATTAGCTGCTCAGAAAATGCAGGTGCAGCAACAGCAGCAGCTCTGTGGAAATTACCCAACAATACACTTTGGGAGCACGAGCTTCAAACGGGCGGCATCAGCAATTGAAAAGTCCATCGGGATTTTGGGAAGTGGCTCCAACCCTGCCACAGGCTTGCCTGGTCAGAATGCTCAGATGCCCGTCCAGAACTTTGCCAACAGCAGCAACACGGACGAGTTGGAACTGAAATGCTCTTGCCGGCTGAAAGCCATGATTGTGTGCAAAGGCTGTGGGGCCTTCTGCCATGACGACTGCATAGGGCCTTCAAAACTCTGTGTAGCCTGCCTGGTTGTACGATAAGAGCTAAGTGAAAGATGCAGTATCTCTTTTGAGTGCGGAAAAGCCAAACAGCATCAGCAACAACAAATTGAATAGCTCGGTGTTTTGTATCATATTAATTTATTTTCGTTTGGAGCATGTTATCTTTGCTCCATGGGATGATGTTCTTGCATTCCTTGTAAAGGGGAGGGTGCATCCCAACTGAATGGCTCAGCAGCATGCTTTTGCAAATTCCATTGCTATCCCCAGCTTCAGAAAGTTTTTGTCCGTGTGTAGAAAGGTCACTGCCCCATTCCTTTTATGTTTTTTTAAATTTTTTTTTTTTTTGCCAAGGTGTAGGTAGACGTCATTGGGCAGTATAAATGGTTAATGCGCTCAGCTGCTATCCAGAAAGTCGGAGGTTCCGGTCCATCCAGAGTGCCTTCATGGCAGCTGGTTGGTGATTGTAGCAAAGAAAAAGCAATTTGTAATTGTAATAATCAGAAATGCAGATGTAGAAAGAGCGTGGTAAGTGTGATGGAAAGTGGTTATGCATTCTATGGATTAGCTCTTGCAACGAGAGCTTTCACGATGGACTCTTCCGGCCCTACCTTTACCACAGTGATTAAATCGTATTTGAAAAGGGGAATCTGCTTTAACTGTATGATTCCTTGTGTTCACTCCTAACACAGAAGAGCCATTAAAGGAGGTATGCTGTTATTGAAAGCCACTGTCATTATTTTCCTTCCCCCTTTACTCTTAGAGACTGTGGTAGAATATCTGGATTTACCTTGGGTTTTTGTACATGCAGAGTAGTGAAATGTGTCTTATGCTTGAAATTGCAATGTGGGCCTCAAGTCCAGTCATCTGGTTCTGGCCCGTTGTCACCTCATAATGTAAGATCGTCGGCCAACGGGGAGCTGTAGGCCCACGGGTTTTTAAGAGCAAGTGTGAAAAAGAAATGCCTAAAATGGAAAACAAACATAGAAATAAAATGCTATATATGCAAAAAATATATAAATAGGCTAACAATGTAAATATTAGGCCATTTTGTTCATCCTAATATAATTACTAGATAATAAAATTTGGGGTGGGAGGAATAATTGTAGCCTTTATTGATGACACCAGTGTGCTCTGCCCTCTGGCTTTGCAGAGGTTGGCCCCTATTTTTTACAGTGTCATTGATGATAAAAAGGGACTACAGAAGGCTAAACGGTTGACCTTCTTTTGAACTTTTTTTTCCTCTTGATTTATGGTCTATATAAATATATTTGACTCTGAAATAGCCTGTATTTTAATAATTGTAGGTATTGCATATTTTTTCCCCCTTTAGGTCCATTCAATACATTTTTCATATTTGGGGAGTGGAGCAGCTTTTGCAAAAAGGGATACTGCATCTTACAACTGTCGCCAGTGTTTATCCAGTAAAGTCTGAATGTTGAGTGTTTTAGTGACTTTCCATACACTTTGGCCACCAACATGCCAGAGACCAGCTGTAGTTCAGGAGGCTCTGTTCCCTAAAGCAAGTTCTAAAGCACATGCACATTGTGGGAAGATGAAGGAAAACAAAAACCAGGCCCTTTTAACTTCAGATTACAGAGCACAAAATGTGGATTACCATTAACCCATTGATTGATTGTGGCTGAGGAATAAAAACAAAAAGCATGGGGGTGAATCGTTTGTATCCAGGGTAAGAATGACAGATAATTTCACATGGGATCATCTTGATCAACGTAAACTTTTCAACATTCCCTTACAGATTAACGTCTTAAAGATTAACACAAATGAACAGAAGCTACATTCCTGGAGGGGGAGAAACACTTGTGATTTTTCTTTTTTTTTTTTTAATCTATGGTATGTGTTTTTTTCCGTATTTATTATTGTGATGTTGCCAAATTTCTTTAGGTGATAGAGACATCATTTTCATTAACAAATTGCTGATAGTGAAAGTTATTTTTTATCTTTAAAGAAAGGAAGAAAGAACAAGGCTTACCTCCATGGCCCAGATTTGATGCTACTGTGCTGTCAGTTCTGTTTTTCACGTCACAGTTAACAACAACAGCAACAAAATTTACCACTGAGAAAATTAGCAATGCACTTAACCAGCCCTTCCCAAGGAATTCAGAATAAATTCCAGCGGATCGCACCAGGCTGTATTTCAGGAACCATCCTCCTTAGTGCTGTTTTTATGGTCGGCGTGGCTCTTACACTCTCTTGATTTGAAAGAGCGTGCTCTAGTCTCATGTTCAGTACCCCTAAAATGTAGATAGTCGCATGATAATTTCTTCTTCCAAATTCAGTCACCACTATACCAGTGTCAGATACTGTCTACACCAGCAGATTGAAAAATACCACACCAGTAACTGACACGGTGTTGAAAGCAGCTCCAATCTACAAACTTTTACACCCTGCATGTGAGGTACAATTCAGGCTGATACAATATTGAGCTCATCATCAGCTCTGCCATTTTGAGTACTGCCTGCAAGTTGCTTACTGGGGGATAAAGAAAAGTGTCCTTCTATATGTTCTGATTTTTCACAATACATTTGGAGACTCAATTGATGATAGCACACGGATTCTATCACCTAAGATCGAAGAGATCATTACTAGTAAAAACGTAATTGCTCTTTGCCCTTGTTCTTCTTTGCTCCAGTTCAGGTTCCTAGTGTTCTCTCATGGTTTATATTATTGAAAACTTAATGTCTTTGGGCTAAAGGGGAGAAAAAAAAAAAGTGAAAAGGAAGAACAATTGAGAAGTAAAATGTGGATCAAATCTTCAAGAGGTATCCATTTATTATATATACAAAAGCCAGCGTGTTTGAATTAAGCTAGTAAGTTCCTAGTTTCCTGATTTCCACAGGTGTCTGCTTATGTGCAAATGGAGTATGTTATTTACTACATGGTTATTGTGTAATGTGCAAATCAGTGTGTTTGTTGTCCTGGTTTTGGACACTATGATATCCCTATCAGGAATAAGACTTGCACATGTAACATGGTGGTTTTTTTTTTTTTTTTTTTGAGTCTCAAAGGATTTATTTCCCTAAGTAGCACTTTTGGAGCAGGGGAAGGAAGAACACTGTATTCCCCACCCCCTCCTCAATGATATGCATATGCCTGAGGTGTACAAAGACATATAGGTAGTTAATGGGCATGTTAATAAGAACATTTTGATGCAAATTCATTTTCAAAATGAAAATATGTTTCCTTCCCCAAAGTGAAAATAGCAGAAATGTTGAACTGAGCACCATTGTTATATTTCCTTGCTAAGTCTCAGTTAAAGAAAGAAAGAAGAAAAAAACCTTGAAAAACAAACCTATGAGGTTGAGCCTTGTTGCTATAAAGACTTTGTGGTGGTGTGTGTTTCTGGGATGAGCTACAGAACGTTTAGTCGATTTCTAGACCTTGGGTATTACTCAGTTCAAACTAAACATTCAAAACCAAGCTGGTGTATATGGTGCTTTAGAATGCAGTTGAGAGTAAGGATTACATGACGCTGCAGCCCCGTTTTCTTTACAAACACTCACACAATTTCGAAAGAGGAAGTTACTGTGGCTTCTGGTTTCCCAATTCCTCCATGGTACGGTAAAGTCCTGAGAAGCTTGAAGCCAAGTTTGGGGTCGCTTCGTCTCTATGCCTTGCACCATGTTAGCTGCCGGGTGGGCATTCTCTCACTGCAGAGGCAGAGCCCAGAGTCAGTGTCCATCTGTGTTTTCAGAGAACAATGTGAAGAGTCCTAGCAGAGGAACTCATCAGACTGTCAGGGGCCGAAGTAGCCAAAATGTCACTGAATACACAAATCCTGCATCTTCAGTCTTCATGCTCTGTCACTGTAAAAAGAACAAAAAGCATTTTTACTATAATTTAAAGGAGCTGCTTTTTTATAGCACATACTATTTCGCTTTGTACTATATTTGATAGTTGCAGAATAATTTAGACTGTAGAAGAACTTTGTTGTATTTGTACTGTTCATGAATGTTTCAAAGAAAGTGCTTTACTTGGTTGCCATAATTTTCTTGTACTGCTGTATTCCCCACCCGCCCCCACTTCATGAAAACCTAATCAGATTCATATTTTCAGTACAGTTGTTTCGTTTTGTTTTAATGTGTGTGTATTTTGTTTTTGTTTTGGTCAGTATTCTGAATGTTTACATCTGTTTGACATTAGCCATTTAATGCCTTTTTTGAAAGGCAATATGACTCCTACAGTGTAACAGCAAAATGTGAAATCAACCCAAACATAACATACGTGACACACACAGATTGGGGGTGAAGGCCCTGAACGTACATAGACATTCTCTTATCAGCATACAGAAAAGTCAAACCCTCCTTCAGTCCTCTACCAAAGAATATATTATCCCCACAGGAAAAACTCAGAAAAGGTGTGTAAAATCCTCAGAAGGGGGAGCAGTTGATTCCGTAAGACTGCTACAATTTCATACTGTTATGCTTGCTTTGATACCTGACTAAATGTGACTGAGTGCAACAAGCATTTTACAAATTTTTAGACAGTGTTTGTTTAGAATTCAGGGATCATGCATTCTTTAATGGTGCTGTTTGTTTTTTATTTCTTTTCTACAAAGAAAAAAAAGTGTTGCCTACAAAGTGACTGCTCACAACACCGTAAGTTAAATGAAATGACATGTTTGTCTCTTCATGTTTCTCTGTTTTTCCCTTTCTCAAAGTAACAATCTGGGTTTCAATATTAAAATATTCTGAAGAAAATAAAGAAATTAAACCTGAAATCATTGTCATTTTTAAATTTTTCCGTGAACGTTGTTGTTGTTGGGTGCTGGCGAATCTGCTCCAGCTCGTAGCAGCCCTACTACGTGCAACAGAACGAAGCACTGCCCGGTCCTGTGCCAGCCTCACAATCCCTGAGTTTTAATGAATGAGGTTGTATATATACATTGATACAGTTTAAATGGACTATTCCTGCACTGAAATTTTTAAGAAAAAATTACAGGGAAAACAAGTGATATGCTATTAAATTTGCCTACCATTCTTTGTGGTACGGTGGTTTGTCAACGTATCAGTTACTACTTT